CGAACGGGAAGATGGCCTCCGCGTCCGGGTCAGGGTCGATGTTGGTGTATGGATGGAATATAGGTCGCCCGGCGTCAACCCGGCGTCGCCTTCTTTTCCGGCAAGCTCATCCAGCAGTGCGGGATCTACGTGGCGGTGTATAAGGCGACGAAACTCGGCCATCCGCATATGCTTCTCCCACTGAGGAAACATTTCAAGTAGGCGCGATGCCTCCTGAAATAACGATTCGCCGGGCCGGCCCGGCGCCTGTGACCGCAGGTAGTGGGTAGGTCTTACCTGAACGTTGCGACCACCCTCATATGAGAGGTACGTTTCCACTCTCAAGAACCCCATAAAAGCTTGCTTTCGGAGGGCGACATTTCTTCAGGCATACGTGGATATGGCCCATCATCATGACACCCAGTGCGTAGACACGTCGCAAGTCGAGGCCACGTCAGTAGTTGCGTATACAATGATAAAACTGACCATGACACTAACTGAGTGGTTCATATGCAGCAGATACATTCCAATTGTGCCTCAGGCGGATTGCTGGTACAATATGCCTAGCCAGATGGAAAGCTCGAGTGTTGATCCTCGCCTGTGAGTATTGATTCCGCATGCTGGTACGAGGTCTCTCACTATATATATATCAATCGTAGGGAAAATTCTCACTTGATTGTGTTCTGCTGCTTTCAGTGCGATGACAACGCAGAACCGTGTAAAACGAGAATCATAGGTGCCAATCGTCTCGAACTCAAGAACGGTTTTGACGAGCACCTTGGATGTAGGAGCACCTTGGATGTCACCGTTGGCACGATATTTCTGAGAGGACGGAAGAAAACACGTATCTGACTGTCCCTGGGTGAAGACGGACGGCAATGTATATAGGGAGTCGCTCGAGGTACACTCAGAATCGCGGCCATGCAACACACTGGTGCGAGATATCTGGAAACGGATAGACGACCTCACGTTGTACAGCTGTTCTTGCCGGGGCGGCGGCAGCAGCAGTAACGGATCCGGCCTTGCCGGCCATGACTATGCGACTGACAAACGGCATTACCATAAACTTCCGGTGAGTTGCCACTGGAACAGTATGCAATGATTTCTGACATACTGCTCAATAATCGCAGCGAACACCTAGTCATCGAATCGGATGTTGCGAAAAACAAAGGCAGGCCGCGTCTCAGATCTGAGAGCATCGTATCATGGCACTGGGCCGACTCAGGCTGATGCTATCTGTTGTCTTCGTATATTGTACTGTAGTAGCCGCTATGTGTCTATTATCCGATGAGCATCGTACTTCTAGGGCCTAGGTAATGCACACGGCAAATCACAGGCCATGTAAGACATTTCGCATTCAATTCCAGAGAGCGGGCGCAATCCAAGCTTGTAACGCCATATCAGAGGGGACTCGGATGCATACGTACCATGGCAGTGTCCGCTCGCTGCTTGTGCAGGCATATTAAGGCTCTACATGAACATTCGCGTTGTACCGTGTAGCATGGAGAAATACGGTCTGCGTGCTCTGCGTCGGCTGTGATTGCAGCCAGCGCACGAGCTGTTAACTCGAAGAGCCGGGTCCTCTGTAGTTTAGGCTTCAAGCGTGATTTTATGCTGCTGAGTCCAGTGAATGGGCGGCCGGCGTGCGCGTATTATCTAGCATAGGATCCTGCAACAAATGCGCCGCAGCGGCGTTGACAGTCGATCTCACCGAGACCAAGACATGCCATAAATTATCGCGGCACCCATGAACTGAATCCTCCAACTCAGTTGTCCCCAGCGGCACAGTGCCTCCTGCGAGACGTAGTAAGTCTGACTCTGACGGTGAAGACACGCCTCGCCAGTCTAGACGTGGTCATCCACAAGCGGAATGATTTCAGGCTAATAACGCCATGTAAGTCGCCCTCCAAGGAATCCGAATACTTTACGTGAATGATCAGGTCAACATGTACCCATAATGAACGAAGTGATGTTTTGATTTCGAGAAAGAAATCTAAAGATCAGATCGAAGTGAAGAAGCGCCATGCCTTGGCATGGACCTCGTGGCGCAATCGGTGGCTACGAGTTCAAGTTGTTACGTACTACGAGGACGTCGACTGTGAATGGACTTCAGCTCTTCCTCCGGAGTCCGAGTCCGCGGACCGCCAACCTGCCCCACATCCACCCATTCAATTGCAGTACACACACCCTCTGACGAACACTTCAGCCCACTACTATTTCCGCCTAAGCCTTGAAGTTCAAGCCATCGAGCTTCAGGGCGTGCCGTGTATTAGACTCGAATCCGTGCAGATCGGTATTCAGGCTGTCCACCTTCTCGCTCGGTGATTTCCACTACCACTTAGCAACATGGTCACGGTGTTGACGCTACCATGCTAGTGGGACAGTGGAAAAATCTTCGAATGTGGCATTTACGACGAGCGCACTGGCCTATCGACCTCCGAAGCCACTACCATCTTGGACGAGAGATCGTATATGGTAGGGCGCCGTTGAGGAGGGAGGAGTAGCACAGAATGCCGCGCGCAAGTCACGGAGGCCGTCGGACGCCATCCCGGCCAATGCCAGTGGGTGCACCGTGTCCGCGCCGAACTTCCCAATACTGTAATGATTCCAGAGATATCATAAAACAGGTCACTTGTACGAGAAAGAAGTGCACTATACTCAAGCCTCTGAACGGATGCTCGGAACTACAAAGACTAGTATTCTCTCAGTACATATCCATGGTGGCTTGTATATCGTTAACGCCTAATATGATTGAGATCATGGACGTATCGCGTGAACCTCGATCCATACCTCAGTGGAAAATGGCATAGATGATACGCCGTGGCCAGAAGGAAATTGCGCACTCGGTCTGTTCGGCGCTAGAAACCACCTAGAATGGCGTCTCCTCTGCGAATCACTCTCACATTCGCAAATCTGAAGTCGCGAGCAATGGTATCTTGTAACCGACTCGTAGCCCACCCCGATACCGGAAAACCATATCCGTTGCCCACTAAGGTGTGGACAACCACCGTCAGTCATCCTGAACGCGCAGGCTTTCCCCCGGTCAAACGCTGCTATGGATGTATGCCGGCCTCCTGTCCACTGTCATCTGACATACATTCTGGGCATGATAGACTGAAGGAACACACCTGATACGTTTCTGCACGACACAGTGGAACTCGTTTTAGTTCAAGGGAGAGATCAGGACCTCGATAACACATGGCGGCCACAAGGGTGTGCCGATTCTGCTGGACAATGTGATCTCCAAAATTCAATACACGGGCAGAATGGTGGGAGAACACCTATGGGGTGGACTTAATCCAACTCTGGCCTCCATGGTGGCCCACTGCCGACGGGTTAAGAACCAGCCAGAGCGAGACGGACTGTAGTGCAAGAGCTGATGTCTTGTACATTCAATGACTCCGCGCTGGCGCCGGCTGCGTAAGTCATGAAGCATTCTCTTGCATCCACTCCACACTAAATTGCAAGGACCTTCGTAGCAAAAAAATCTGCCCTGGTGCGGTAGCCAATTACATGGAACACCTGAAAAACAGGCCCCAAAATGCCGATACGTACCTGTGAGATGGGATTGTTGCAGCAGTCGCATGCCATCTTGCTGACTACCACGCAGGGATTTGCCTGCTCCGGTAACAGACAACAACGATGTACTAGAAGAAGACGAGGGTGTAGATGAGTAAGTGAGAGGCAGATGCATCATGACGACTGCTCACCGATCACACTTAGTGAATATACGGGTCCGGATGCCGACAGAAACAATGGCGGGGGTCCTACGGACCAATCGTCGAACATTGAACAGTTGCGTATATGCCAACTCGAGGTCATGACCGACGGGACACTAGGACAGTGCGGCGTCGAGATCTGTGGTAACAACCAAAATCAAATAACACGGGCACTCGAGGTACACATCGATGAATGTCACCCCCTTGCTTCCGTGAAGAGGATGGCGTAGCCGTTTGCAACTGTCGGTGGATGCATGACGACGGCACAATTTGCAGGCAGTCGCTCAAACGACATTCGGAACATCGGCCATCTTATGCCCTCGCCCAGCATATCGGAAAGAGGACTGACCATTTCGCACTATACCGTTGTGCTTGTGAACGGAGCGATTGCGGTTGTAAGGGAACGTTCGCCTCTGCCGACGCCCTGAACAGGCACTATGCAAAGATCGAGTGAGCATCATCCGCTTGACCCTGTCTCCGGCAATTACTGACGCATTGATGAGCTACAGTGAACGCCTCAACCTCGGCTGAATGCAGCTGAGATCGTACCACGGCCTAGAGGTACACGACCGTTGGCGCTGGACGCAGGTTCTCCCCATCGTCTTGTCTGACGTAGCTTCACCACGACATCTACCGCCCAAGTGTTCAGTTACGTCTTGCAATGCTCTGTATGATCGTTCTCACCTCGCTATGCTCTTCCGTAAAAGCGCTTGCGGTTCGCTATCGACTCATATTCTGCTATCATGTTATTGCTTTGCTCTCGCTCTTTCGCTTTGTTGTAATATATTATCTTGTGTTGTGGCTTTATATGAAATACTGTACCCAACCTCGTCACCTACCTACTCGCTGGCGGGCCACAAAAGTGCCATCGTCACCGCTATTTGCATGTGCCTCCCACTGATCATTACCCACGACGAGTACGCGTCGAGTAAGATGCTTCTATACCGTCAGACGAGGCCAACGGTAATGTACGGGGACTTGCCTACGTCAGGCTCCAGCTTGCACCGGGTCCATCCAGTCAACTTCCACGTGCCTCGCGCCTGCGTGTCAATAGTGGCGGCCGGACCAGTATGCACCCACCTCTGCTGAGTTTCGATTGAATTGTTCATCATTGTCAACGACGACAGGCATACGCATGACAACACTGCGCATCTGGATCATGCTCAGCGTATAAGTACACATGCCCCGCAGTGATACACTAAGTAACTCACATACTGATTGTGGCACTGCCTATCTCCATCACGAGCGGGGCTCGTGGGGCTGACCTCGAGATAGTCGGCAATGCAAAGACTGCGTGTATCAAGCTTTCAGCAATGCGACAACACACGTAAGGAAATACTCATGGTCATTATGCAATCAGAAGTAGTCAGGGTACGATACACATCTTCTACTTGTACAACTCGTATATCGGGCTACAACCAAGGCCCATCGTCCCATCGTCCTGCATAGAGAAAAATCAGGACAACAGACGCGCCACCATAAGGAAACGAATGCACATGAAAACCATAATCAATCGATAGACCCGGACCGCATGTGTCATAGAAGTCATATCACATAGACGTCCTCCTTCTCCAGGCTGTACTCCTCGAGCTTCCGGAAGTACTCGATCCGCGCCTGACGTGATCGGGCACGCTCCTAGAAGCAGCATCAGTACGAATGCCGCCGCAGGGATCACTCATACGCACCTCGTCCTCCTCAATATCGATCTCCTCGTCCTCGTCCCTAGCGCGTTTCTTGCCCTTGCTATCCGGCTTGCTCGCGGGCTTCTGTGAGCGAGACCGCGTTACACGGGTGCTGCTCGACGGCGGACGGCTGCTCGTGGATATGCCCCTCCCGCGGGCTCTTCCTCTTCCCCTAGAAGCGCCTCGTCCTCTCGCAACCCCACCGCGACTGGCACTGCTCCTGGCTTTCGCTTCTTCTTCCTCATCCTCACTCTCCGACCCGCTCTCCTCGCTCGGAACGTCCTCAGCGTGTGCCTTCGCCCCTCCACGTCCACGTCCACGACCCCTACCAGTCGCTCCGCGCGCGCGTCCACGACCCCTTCCTCTCCCGCGTCCACGCGCACGCTTCGCGGGAGGCTCAGAGCTCTCAGACTCGTCGTCGGACGCAGGCTTCGCGCGTTTCGGGGGTCTCCTAGGGAGGAGCCTCTCAAGATTCTTCGCCGCCTTCGCCGGATCCTCGCCTTCCTCATTCTGCCCACGCCCGCGCTTCCTCGTCGCGGGCTTCTTCAGCTTGGGGACCGACTCCTCGCGCTCGCTCCCCTGGGCCTCCTCTTCACCCTGCTCCTTACCCTCGTCCTCGACATCGACCATCTTGTCTTCCGCATCGACGCCTCTCCGAAGTCTGAACGTCGCAGGCACGGAGCTCGTCAGGTCCAGCAACTCCGCGGGGCCCATGCTCCGGCTCGGCGTGTCCTCGCCCACCTCCGACTCCGAGCTCTCGCCCTCAAAGTGCGGCGTCGGCAGAGGGCTCCGCTTGCGCGTACTCTTCGGTTTGCGCGGCGTGCGCGTCGGGTCGACCTCTGGCGAGCCAGGGGCGGACGCAGACTCGCTTTGCGCGCCCGGATCCGGGAGGGCAGGCTCGGGGGGGTCGGGAGCAAGGGGAAGGGGACGAGGGGCGGCATTCTCCTTGTCCTCTTCTTCGTCTTCGTACACCTCGTGCTCGTACACCTCATCGGGGTCGGCGTACGAGAGCACGTCGGAGCCGTTGTCATACGCGGGCTGGACGACGGGGTCGCTCTCGCCCGGCCCAGGGTCGGGCAGCTCTGGTGCAGGGGTGTCGCGCTCCAAGCGAGGGCTGTCCAACGCGAGGAACCTGTGGTCGCCGGAGTTCGAGTCCGCCTCGGAGCCACCATCGGGCGTGGGCAGCTGGAGCGGCACCGTGGACGGCCCGGGAGTGGGCTCGGGCGAGGGGGAGGGCGTGCGACGCGAAACGACGAGCGTACCGAGGGGCGCGCGGCGCGGCGCGGGAGCCTTACTCATGTCTCGCCGGAGGGCCTTGAGCTTGCGCTCCGCCGCGATGAACCCGAACAGGTCGTCCTCTGAGCTCCTGCTCCGTTGCTTCTGCAGGGGCACCGCGCCAACGCTGGAGTCAGTAGCGACGCCCATGCCGATTTCTGCGCCTATACCCATACCCATGTTCTCCTTGTCCTCGGGCTCAAGCGGCTCGTCATCTTCCAGCTCGGCCATGAGGTCCTCACGCACCGCGAACGGAATGGGGCCACGCGAGCCAAGGGGTGAGGGCGGAGGCGGCGAGCTCGGCGGGAGGGATTCCTCCCTGGCGCGCTGTTTCCCCTTTGCTTTCGAGCTCCCCGCGACCGGCATCTGTGGCTCCGGCGCACGCACAGGCATCTTGTTCAGCGGGAGCCGAGGTCTCCGCTTACGAAGCGGGGCAGGCGTGCTCTGCGCCGGGAGCGGTCCGAGTCCGGATTTGATGGGCGTAGGGCTTGCGAGGACACCATCGTCCTCGTTGGCGGGGCGGAGGAGCGTCTTGACATGCCTCGGCTTCGGAGTCGGCGGCACGAAGGATGGCGTGCGGTGTTCGAACCCGAAGACCGGCGGCGGCGGGAGCACAAACCCGCCGGAGGGGCGGGATGAGCTCGAAAGACGGACGTGTTTCGTGGGGAGAGGGCTGGGGGCGGAGTCCGCGAGCGGGCGAAACGTCGGCGGAGCGATGGGGCGGCGGTTGGTGAGGGGCCGTGTCGCTGTCTTAACGGGGGACGGGCTTGGTCCAGCGGAAGAATCTGAGCTCGCCCCATATGCGAGGGGCTCCCGCTCTGAGCCCGCGCGCACAGGTAGCATAGCCGCAGAGAGAATGTCAGAGTGGCGCACGGCGTCCGACCGCATGTCGTACGAGTAGCGAGGCATGTCGGACGGTTGTGCTCCTGGCCTCCGGATACGCGCTGGCGTCGGTGTTGGAGGCGCGCTCACCTCAGAACCAGTCTCCTCCAAGGGCTCTGGTGGCGGTTGTGGGACTCTGCGAACATGGTGTGGATGCGGGGAAGGGGGGACAGAACGCAGGTTGCCATTCTCATCGGAGACGACTGGGACAACTTCAGGAGCAATGGGGAGCGCGCCAAGAGGCTTTCGGGGTTCGCTGAAGAGGGCCTTCGACGCGTTCGAGTGGTGAGACTGGGGCGTGTTCCCCGGCGTCTTGTCCTGCAACGCAGGGCGCCGGCGGGTGCGCATGGGTCTGGTACGGTACGACTCTGTTGATGGCTGATAGGTCAAAGCGCATACACACACCTTGAAGGATCCCTTTCAAGACCAACAAACGCGAATTCCCAAGCGTTCTAGCGATGTAAATGCTTTGCACTGCGGTCGCTCAGCAGAGATGAACGCTTGATATGTCGCGTCTGTTTGACGTGGTTTGAAACAATATGATAGAGCAAGAATTGAATAACCAAGCAGTCACAGAGACATGGGAGTCAAAGACAAAGGAGGGGAACGAGTGGCAGGAGGGGGCGAACCTTGGGCGCCCGCCATTCGATCGTGTTCGCTGTCACGTGTCACGCCTTAGGCTGTATTGTTCTTGTCACGCCGTGACAAGGGCTTCGCTTGCCAGTAAGTAGCTGAGGTCAAGCTGAGGCCGCTCCGAAACCTTTGGGACAACATTGGAATGTCATCACGAGAGCTGCAGTACCAAGACTAGATCCCAGAAAACATACAATATATTACAATGCATCCAATAGTACTGGGTTTATGGGTGAGCATCAAGAAAACTGATCAGATACACATGCGAGTCTCCAGAGCCGCCTCTCCAAGTCCATGTCAATCTACATCCTGCGGTCGAGCCACCGTTGGATCCGTAAAGCTATTATTGCATTTTGTGCAGACGAAGAAGAGGATCATCCGTGTCTCCTTTCGCTTGGACTGGTCCTGGAAGTAGACAGCGCTAAAGGAGCAGACCGCTAAGTGTCAGCGCAGCGCGAGGGAACGTCTCGAAGTGGCGAAATCGAGGTAACGTACTCATCGTTCCCACATTGGGGGCATTGCATATCGGCATGCGCCTAGGAAGTTGTGAGGCAAAAGTGCAGAGCGGAACCGGGCGAGCGTACCAGTGTAGTATCGTTCATGAGGTCTCCTGTCACACCGATCTGCTCTCTGAGATGGGCAGGTAAGTACCTTAACCATCGAATGTAGCAAACGTCCAACAGAGATGGCCACATCGCAGAGAGCAATAGGGACATCCTTGGTGCACGCTCGCAGAGAACGGCACGTACTTTGTCACCGTCAGCAAGTCATTCCTGTATACACACTTGTTCTCGCCAACCTCGTCGTAGTTGCATATCCGGCACGCATATACCATGATGCGCCGTTGCGGATCAGCCTTGGGGTAGAGCAGGTTGTTGCATTCCGAGCAGAAGTGAAGCGAAGCCTAGTTCCCGAGCATAGCAAGGCGCGTCGATCGTTATCAAGTTCGGCCATGAATGTCAAATGTCTACTCACCATGGTGTCAAGCTCTCCGACACAGGAAGGTCTTGCGGCGGTACGGTACCTTCAGCACTACTGAGAGAAGAGCTGAACGCGGAGAGCTCTGTAAGCGCGCATACAATCTCGATCACGTGCTATCATATTCTCTCATCTTCCTCGTCCACAGATTTTGAGCTTTCGATCATCATCCTCGCGCGGACCGCTGAGGTCCAGCATATCCCGCCATCTACCCAACCTGACTCCCAAGTTCCAACTAACCAACCAACATGCTCTCAGAAGAGTCCGACACCGAATCCATCCATCGGCTCACCATCAATGAGCACTTCGCCAAAGCGTATGAGTACCGCAAGGAGCGCGAGGAGCTCGCGAAGCGTACGTCCGCCCGCGCCCCCACCCACTCAATCTAACTCAGCGTTAGTACAGTGAAGGAAAAGTACGGCTCGGACGTGGACGATGCCGACGTCGGTGGGGACGAGGACGACTCGGAGGAGGACGAGAGCGAGGACGAGGATGGGGAGGAGCTTACGCCGGCGGTGGACGCAGCGATCCTGAGGACGCTGGCGAGAATCAGGAAGAGAGACCCGGCGATTTATGAGAGCGGGAAGGATATCTTTGAAGGTGAGTCATGACAATGCTGCTCCATACATCATTCGTCTGACCGCTCGAGTGCAGAGGAGCGCCAGAAAACGAACGGCGCAGCGCCAGTAACGCGGGTACAAAGAGACAAGGCACGTCCCGCCTCGTGCACTAGTCCCCCGCCTCGTTATAGCTAACATACGTTCCAGTCGAAACCCTTGACCATGCGCCAACACGCCCTCGCCTCCGCCCTGAACCCCTCCTCTCGCTCTCCCTCCCCCGAACCGCTCACACACGTCGCCGAACAAGCTGCCCTCCGCAAAGAGACTATCTCTGCCTTCCACGGCGCCGTCTCTGGAGCAAAAGTAGAAGACGAAGATGATGACTTCCTCGTGCCGCGGGAGAAGACGAAAGACGAGGTCGAGAGGGAGGAGGAGGAGTACCGTGATTTTCTGCAGCGGGAAGTGGGCGATGACTTGAGGGAGATTGTCACGCTCGATGCGGGTGCTGCGACTAACGGTGCAGAAGGAGGTGAGGTCAAAGTAGAGGAGGGCAAGGAGAAGAAGAAGAAAAAGAAAAAGAAGGAGGATGCGAAGGGTCATAAGAACAAGGATGAAGAAGATCAGGAGTTCCTCATGAAGTGAGTTTTTGATCGTTTGTCCTCTCACGGCAAACTATCTCACATCTCACTAGTTACATCCTCAACCGCGGCTGGCTCGACCGCTCCGCGCGCCGGCTCCCGACCTACAAAGAGATCGTTGGCTCGAAGAAAGGCGCGAAGAACAAGGGGAAAGCCAGAGGTGACGGCTCCTCTAGATCTTCCGCTTCAGAGCATGAGCAAGACGTCAAGTCCGAAGACGACTTCAGTGCAGGGTCTGGCGGAGAGCCGCTTGACGAGGAAGAGGACGAGTTTGACGAGGTAGCAGATCGCTTCGAGAGCTCGTACAACTTCCGTTTCGAAGAGCCGTGCGTCTACTCCTTCATACACTCAACATATGCGCATGCGTTCACAATGCCTTCTTCTCAGAGGCGCAGATGCCATCCCTCGGTACCCACGAAACATCGACTCCCTCGTCCGGAGGCAAGACACTGGCCGGAAAGAAGCGCGCGAGAAGCGGAAGGCACGCAAGGAGGAGGAAATGCTCAAGAAGCGCGAGGAGGTGAAGCGATTGAAGTCGCTCAAGATGAAGGATCTACAGGCGCGGCTCGAGATGATCGGCAAAGAGGGCGGGAAGAGCCTCGCTAGCAAAGGTATACCTCCGTCTGATTGGTTCTTACCGCGGGATGCTGACGATTGGTTGACTTTTCAGCACTACAAGAGCTGGACTTGGAGGGAGACTGGGACCCCGATGCGCACGACCGACAAATGGCGGAACTCTACGAACGCGAGGCGGAGGCCGATGCGATCGTCGACGATGAGAAGCCGACGTGGGACGACATTGACATCACGAACATCGCGCCCCCAGATGACGACGAAGACGGCACTCAAGCGTCCTCGAGCAAGAAGAAGAAAAAGAAGAAAAAGAAGGACGAGGGTGTTGCAGATGAGGGCGGCGTGGACATCGACGAGATGGACGCGGCGGTTGACCGCGCGCCCGCGGACGAGGAAGAGTGGGACGGCACGGAAGAGACGCGCAAGCGTGTGCTGGAGAAGTACATGGACGAGCTCTACGGGCTCGAGTTCAACGACATGGTGCGCCGCCCTTCCAATTCCCGTCCTACACTCATTCTCACCCTCTCTCGGTAGGTCGGCGACATGCCTACACGTTTCAAGTATGCCCGTGTCGAGCCGCAGGCGTTCGGCCTCTCGCCCGTGGAGATCCTCACGGCGACCGACCCGGAGTTGAACCAGTTTATGGGCATCAAGAAATACGCGCCGTACCGCAAGGAGGGCAAGGGCAAGACCTGGGACGGCCAGCGCACCGCACGGCTTAAGGAACTCCGGGAGAAGCTGAAGGATCGCGGGGTCGAGCTCTCGGAGGGCGGCGCGGGGAGGGAGAGGGAGAGGGCGGAGAAGCCGAAGAAGAGGAAGGGGAAGAAGGAGCGTATGAAGGAGAAGGCGGCTGCTATTGGTGCAGGGGTGGGCGAGACGGATGGCGGTGAAGGGGATGTGTATGAAGGTGAGGACGTGGAGCACAGTGCGGGCAGGAAGGCGAAGCGGAGGAAGGTGGAGGAGAGGAGTAGCGAGGTGGGCGACGGGGCGGATGAACCAGAGAATGCTGATGGACAGGATGCGTCGACCAAGAAAAAGCGGAGGCGGCATAAAAAGTCACATCATGCAGCGGGGTAGATGGAGAGGCATAAGTTTGAATATTTTTTGTCTAGTGTTCGTTCACTTAGGCTATCTGCGACCATATCACCGCATGAATCAATCACTGCGTCTCAGTGAGTCTGTTCTCTACAACTGGTCAGCTCCACGGGCCCCGCTCGTCACATCGAGATTGGCAGTACCGCCACGAGCAGCATGTGAGTTATTCATTGTATCACTGCAGGGCATGCGTGTCCGCTGAGCATGATCCAGATAGCGGAGTATTGTCATGCGTGTGCGTGTCGTCGTTGACAGCAGTGAACCTTTTAATTGAGATACAGCAGAGGTGGGTGCATACTGGTCCGGGGACCACAACTGACACGCAGGCGCGAGGCACGTGGAATCTGAATGGATGGACCCGTTGCAAGCCTGAGGTAGGAAAGTCCCTGTACAATACCGCTGGCCTTGTCTGATGCGACGGTGAAAAATAGCCGTAACGATGTCATGTTTGTGGCTCCACAGCGATGTAGATATGTAAGGAGGTAAAGTACAGTGATTGAAAGCCATAACAAAGACTAATATATTACATCAAAGCCAAAGCGGAAGAGCAAGAGCAGACCAATATTGCGATAGCAGATTACGAGTCAATAGCGAGTGGAGAGCACTTCGATGGAGGAGCATAGCGAGGTAACGACGGTCATACAGAGCATGGCAAGACGTAACTGAAGTTTTGGTGGTAGATGTTATGAATGGTGACGCCGCGCTAGAGAAGACAATGCAAATCTTGTGTACCTCTAGGCCGTGTTACGATCTCAGCTGCATTCAGCCGAGGTTGAGGCGTTCACTGTAGCTCATCAATGCGTCAGTAATTGCCGGAGACAGGGCCAAGCGGATGATGCTCACTCGATCTTTGCATAGTGCCTGTTCAGAGCGTCGGCAGAGGCGAACGTTCCCTTACAACCGCAATCGCTCCGTTCACAAGCACAACGGTATAGTGCGAAATGGTCAGTCCTCTTTCCGATATGCTGGGCGAGGGCATAAGATGGCCGATGTTCCGAATGTCGTTTGAGCGACTGCCTGCAATTTGTGCCGTCGTCATGCATCCAGCAACAGTTGCAAACGGCTACGCCGTCCTCTTCACGGAAGCAAAGTGGATGACATAAATCGATGTGTGCCTCGAGTTTCCGTGTTATTTGATTTTGGTTGTTACCACAGATCTCGACGCCGCACTGTCCTAGTGTCCCGTCGGTCATGACCTCGAGTTGGCATATACGCATCTGTTCAATGTTCGACGATTGGTCCGTAGGGCCCCCGCCATTGTTTCTGTCGGCATCCGGACCCGTATATTCACTAAGTGTGACTGGTGAGCAGTCGTCATGATGCATCTGACTTCTGCTTACTCATCTGCACCTTCGTACCCTTCTACATCGTCGTTGTCTGTCACCGGAGCAGGCAGGCCCCTGCAGGATACTCAGTAAGACTAGACACGACATTTACAACTATTGATCTCACAGGTACGTCTCTATAGCTTTCGGCCTGTTTCGCAGGTGCGCTTCATAGTTGGCATTCGCACCAGGGCCGATGTCCCTGCTATGAAGGTCTCTCCTAATCAGCGTGGAGACAATGAAGGAACGTTTCATAACTTACGCCGCCTGTGCTAGCTCAGAGTATTGGGGGTGTCCCTCCATGTCTCGATTGACTTGTCACCCTGTTTCGCTCAGCGCCGCCTTTTAACCGACCATAGGTCGGCGATTATGGAGGCCAGAGTGGGCCTATGTCCACCTTACTGGTGTTCCTCCACATTTCTGCGTGCGTTGAAGATTGCCTTGCTCAACAGGCACCTTCTCTATACACCATCCTGGCCGCCATGTGGTTTCGAGGTCGTGTCATCTTCAAGATTGAAACAAATCCCACCGTGTCGTGCGGTAGGAATGCATTGGGTGTGTTGCTTAGATACCCGCGTTTCAGCAACCTGTCCTACTGACACGATGAGTGGACCCAATGATCCGTGCCCCGTAGATGTCGCCATACAATTGATGTTAGATGGGGAAATGAGCACCGGGAAAAAATGCGCGGTTGCGTGGTGGATGATGGAAGTGTTCATGGGGTACTACGGTGGAAAAGAAGTGGGATGAAAGTGCCACTTTGCTTTCTCTAGTCTCAGCTATTGAGTTTGAGAGTCCGAGTCCGAGAGATGTCACTACGATTGGCAAGCGCTGTGTGCCTAATACTACCGACGCGCCTGCTCCTCTCGCCGACTCTGACAACCCCGGCGTAAAGCACGGCACCATTGACTTCCTATAACACTTCTGCAATGGTCTACGGTAAACAGTAGAATGACTTGGGTTGTACAGAGGCCCTCGTGTTATGTGACTCAGTGTATACTGAGAACGACCGACTCGGCACGAACTCAGTTGCATTTGGGTTGATGGATCTATGCCACTGATGCTACTTAGCCGCCTATTCAACTCTTTGCTTCGCGGGAGTGGTGGAATTTGATGGTATGTGTCCTATGTAGGACGTAGTGTCTGCCGTGTACCGTTATATGTAGTGAATGATGGGAGCTCTACAGTCGCACTCGGCGCGAGAATGATGCACCCAATACTATTAGTGGAAAGAGTTCGACAGTGACAGGTTCCCGAATAAGTATGATGGCGGTTCGCGCGCTATGTGCTTGGGCGCGAAATAATATCCGTCCGAGGTACTGAGTACGTGCATACGCATACCATCTATGTCGCATACCGTTGTCTCTGCGAACGATGGTCAACGTTAGTCTCCGTTGCAAACCATAACAAAAAGTCGACAAGCGTTAGGTCAGCGTGTGGATCGTGCCGAAAATCTGAAGGCTGAACACTGATATTGTGACGGGCAGGCCCGGGGTCGGCTGGGCCAGGCGGTCGTATTAGTGGCTACGGTTGCGCGGAACGAGCGAGAACGGGCACGGAATAGGCTCGTATACTGCTGGAAAGGCGAAAAACTACAGTACACGGTACAGTACAGACTGGCGATGTATCTACGTGCTGATGTAATAGGCATGTGGCGGGCGCGCCCGTTACTACAAACAAGTATCGTAACCAAGTTCTCTCTAGGCCTGCACACTCAGGCTGACCACAGGTCACCGGTTCAAGTTCACCATTCACACCGCCACTGGAATGATCGAGTCTGCCCTAGGCATACCCTAAAGATCTCATTGACGGAGGAGAAAACGGTCTTCTAGGGATAGTCACCATCCGTGACAGCCATCCGCGCCACCTCTCCATCCACATTCCCCACTGCATCACCGTTCTGCACACGTCCATTCGCCATCTTACCCTCCGAAGCCTCGCCATTCAATCCCACCGACTTCATCGATGACATCCAGCATCCTGCGGCGCGCCCGCCAGGAGCGGGACCTTCGCGAGGTGGCCGAACGGCCTGGAGCAGGACGCGTGCGGGACGTGGGTCATGATCACGTCGATTCCTCATCGGGGGTGCCTGGAAGTGACTAGTGTCGGTACGTGAGGGGATCAGGGTTTGCCTGGGAATAAGGATGACAGGATAGCCTCAGCAATGGACGCATGGGGGCACGCTCAGTGAGTGAGGAGGCTGGACACGAGAAGTGTAACAGCACATCGAAACAGCGAGTTCATTCGTGAGCCGCGATCCTCAGAGTCACAGGTGTTCTCGTCACCAGCAGCACGATCCCACATGTGAGACATTGCTGCGGACAACAGCAGCCCAATGCGTACGTATGCCTTCTAATTGGACTGCTTCATCACTGGTGCTTCTAGCAGTATACTTTCATAACGAACAGCCAACTGAATATCTTATGCATGGCTGATGAGATAGACGAAGACCTTGAGCGGGCAGTGCTGCTCAAGGCAGCTCGAGCCAAAGCTCCACCAGCTTGCTGAAGTTGGGTGTCCCGACGCCCGTGACAGGGTCCCAACCGGGCTCGGCGTAGAATCCTTCCGTGTTGCATCCCGGGTTGGATCCAGTGGTGATGTCGTTGAATGCAGCCATAAAGGTTGGAGTGTAGATCTGCCGCATATTCTCGTTATCCACGGTGCAGCACTGCAAGCAGCTGAAGAGACTTACGGTGGGGTTGATGAACCCGATTGAACTCTTACCAACGGCGAGCCGAGCGTCATTGATCGCAGAGAGGATGGTGGCGGAGACCGGGGAGGAGCAAGACGTTCCGTAAACCAGGTAAAATTCACCGTTGATGGCGACGACGTAGTTCGCTCTGCAAACCGAAGCATACGGATCAACACGAGAGTCGCATACACCATACTCTTGGTCACAGTGCAATGGATGATTTCACTCACCCATTCGCAGCGATGTCAGGGAACCCACGGCTCGTTCCAGAACTATTGTAGAGGGTCGGTGCATACGGAGGCGGGTAGTTCGTGAGGTATGATTCTACAGCGGTCTTCTGGTACGACGGCATCGCGAAGACATTCGAGAAGCCACCGCCAGAGTAGATGACTTGCTCGCAAGCGCTCTCGGGCTCGTAGACCTGACAGGGATTAAGCAGACTGCGATTGTGCTGAGAAGTTAGAGTAACTCACCGTCGAGTTCGGATTCACTTGGGTCGCCCCGACACTGGTGATGTACGGGCATGTTCCAGGGAAAGTCGGGTTGAAGTCTGGTGCGCCTGAGCCTTGTGTTCCGTTGGGGTACAAGCATACACCGTCATTTCCTGCAACGCCGTAGTCGCCCGAGGAGTACAGAACGGTCATACCCATAAGGCCAAGCTTTCCACGAACGTGAGTCACGTAATTTGGTGGCGACGGCGACGAACTGACCTTGGCATACTCAGCGCACTGCCTCTCTTCGTAGGCGGGGGTCAAATCGGCCTCGTTGTACGAATACGAAGTCGACATGACATATGCCGGAGTGACAGTCCCGCATGCCTCAGGACCTGTACGCAGACTCAGACTCTTTCACAGCTGCCGAACAAAGTGCACTGGCCTTCATAACCGCCGTATGGGTCGGGATAGATCGAATCGTATTCGGGGTTGTCGCCACCTTCGAAGTAACAGTACGACGCGTCGAGGGCATCGAGCAAGTTGCCGAATGATGCGCCTGCGTGGAATAGTACGACTCAGCAAGAGAACTCAGTCAACTCTAGCCACGGACCTTCAAC